GAAAAATTGTAGTTAGAGAAAACATGCGCTAATCTTTCTCTGTCTTCTTAGAGCTTCAAATCTGCAATGGGTAGAACAACAGACACAAACTGTTCTTCAGCTACACTAATTTTTTTTTTTTTAAAAAGAGGCCGGTTTTATTTGTTGACGTTACTGCAGTGGTGTACATAACATATCTGTCTCAAAACAAAACGTAAATGACCACCACTGCCACAGTCATTATACACAAGTAAGGCGTCAATTCTCAGTATAATTATTATTTTAGCAAATCAATAAAGGGCAGTTTGGTAGAATTAATCTTTCTCTGACATATTTCATCACTGTTCATTCCAATTTTCTGCACAACCAAAGTAAATCTTTCATAGAGTCAGTATACATTTTATAGTGCCTTCTCTAGCTTTGGATATCATAAAATAGTGCTGCAAGTATGAATATATAGACTGAATATGTTTTTTATCACTGTTTATTCAGAAATCGTGACAGAGATCTTTGAATCTTCAGGGTATGATTCTTTGTATGATCATTAAAAAGTGTATGTTACAATAATTGAAGTAAACTTAAAAGAACTATGTGAGTTGATTTAAAAAAAGAAAGTGCATTTTAGTTATCCAACTTCTTAAAACTTCATTCTGAAGAGCATGTTCTCAGGGAATCATATATCAAGCATCAAATGTTTTACCTGAGGTATTCTTACTTGCCATGAACTCCACAGTAATTAACTGCAAGAGTGGTAGGTTATATATGCACAGCAGATGGCAAAGTCCATCTTTGAAAGCTTCTAGTCCATGTTAAAATAATAGTGTAGATAAGGTAAATGCAAAGGACTGGAGCATAAAGTTGGTAATCAGGAGAATATTGGGGTAATGTAATCATGCACACTGCTTTGCCTTTCCGAGGAGCAATGTGTGAAATGTGTAGGAATGCACAATTCATATTGCTGTCTTGTGCTCATGCCGGTCATTGTATATACCTTTATAACAGCCCTTATTTGCTGCATGTGGACTTCTTTAATTATTCATCTATTCTAGAATTATTCACCGTTCATTTCTTTAATTATTCACCTAGAGAAAAAAATAAACAAAAACTTGTATATATCTGGTAGGTAGTGCTTTCTATGTTGCTGTTTTTTAAGATAGATCTGCAAAGTTAGTTTTAACCTTAGTAGGGACTGATCCAGAAACATTTTTTTTTATGGTAATATTGCTATGTACTGATGAATCATATGTGCCTCCTCTAATTCAGATTTATGCTTCTGAAACTGCATGGGTTTTATTCAATGTTTCAATGAAAGAATCTTGTCATGATCTAACAGAAACTTAGTTATGTTAACATTTCATTCTCCCACAAGCTATGTAGCAAGCCGATCAGAAGAATATAATCTTCTCTGCTTTTATAGAATAGAAAATCATCACAGAAAATGAGTCAGAAATTTTCCTTAGGGGTGAATCACAGAACTGAGTGTTGAACAGGTTTGTTGGGTCCACCAATCCTGCAGCATGCTTGTTTAAGGTTGGCTTTACAGAAATGTTTAGTGTTTGTTTTTGCCAGCAGTCTTGAAGTACCTTAATCAGCTTTTAATGGGAAAAAAAAAAAGCCTCTGTGGAAAATATTGTGATGGAACTATTGAATTGATTATGATTGCTTTCCCAACAGTTAGAGCTGAAACATTTCTGCTTGCTCAATTGAGAGATGAAGTGGGTGTTAACCAGAGCTTTATGGCTTCTTTCCTGTGAAATGCATCTCTTGGGTATACAGGGCAAGCCCAAGGCTTTCCTCCTTCTGTTAAGCAAAGTTCACTGCTGGCCATGCATCAGAGCGCCTTGATACTGATCATAGTACTTTTATCTGCTGTTGAATGTTCCAGAGGCCCAAGGTACAAGACTATTGTTTCTTTAAAGCTATGTGAGAGATTCCACTTATAAAAAGGGGGGTGGGGAGCTGCAGTCGCACTTAGATGACACAGAATGTCTGGTTTGCAAAATAAATCCAGTTTTCCTTTCTCTGGCTATTTCATTGACGTTCAAAAGGTATCCCTCTTTATCTTTGGATGGGTTATATTCTAGAAGGTCTTTAGTCAAAAGTCTGTGTCAGAAGGAGCTTTAGCAGCACTGGGCTTATCTCTTGTTAGGTTAGCATCTTGATTACATGACCTTATATGAATTTAGGGAAAAAAGATCCTGTCTTTCTGCTGACAGTACCGGACTTACTTGAGAACTGGGCTTTCTGTACTTTGGTGCTATTGGAAGCACAACAGCAGCCTGTCTCTAGTAATGGAGTTCTTATTGCTGTGTGAATCATGTGCACTTATCCAGTGGGTAACATCAGCTGTTCAGACCCTCAAGTTTCATGTTTTGAGACCAGGGTTGAAACCATGTTTATACAGAGGTCCTTAAGTGTGTGCATATACACGCACACACATGTCTATGATTCCAGTTAGGATTGTTGTTTTCATACATATGCAATAATATTTCTAGAGCTTTATGTGTGAGGCAAAGGATAACTCTTCAAGAATATGGTTCTTCAAATAGATTCTCTAGCAGCTAAGTAATTTAATTCAAAATAGAAAAACCAATCCAGAGCAATGGTAAATACAACACTTATGCCTCAACTTTGAGTGCTGATTGATATTTTACAATTAAATGCACTTTTTTCCCCTCATTGTCCAGCAGAATGCTATGTCAAAATGGTTGTGGTTTCACACCACTTCATTGTAGGTGTACTAATAGATGCTCAGGAAGGTATGCATAGGAGTTTTCCAATGTTGCCCTGTTCAATACTTTGACAATGACAATCTCAAAGTTGACAGTAGGCTCATTGGCAGCATTTTCTATACATTTCTGTGAATGTCTGTGGTGCGTGTCTTGATAGGTATGCCTATAATTTATCACACAGCCAAAAAAAAGCACTTACTCATTTTCTGTCTGTCGGAATGTGATTAGTCTGACTGGTGATGCCAGTGACAGCATAGTCCAAAATCCTAATTTTTCTGGAGTTCTACAACAGTTTACTGGATTTCCAGAACAATCAGGTCTGGTTTTGTTTTTGTTTTTGTTTTTGGAAGGGCTAGGGAGTGGTCCTTTTGTCTCTTGGTTTGGGTGTCTTTTGTTGTGTTGGGTTTTTTTTTGTCCAGTTACAGACACTTTTGTCAACAGCACTGACAGTGCCATTTTTATTTTACTGCTCCAGAAGTGGCAAATTCCTGATAACTTATTTTTACAGTGCTCTCTAGCCCTCTATTCTTTCCCTTTTCCTTTGTCTCTGCCTGGTTTAAAGACGATATTAGCTGTTAAAAAGGGCAGTAAGAGGGCTGACTGGGCCATGGGGAAGGTGTTTGGGGGCGGGGGTCCCGCATGCCCGCTCCTCACCCTGCAGCACCATGGCCAGGGGCCGGGCCGCCGCCGGGCCGAGCACCATGGAGAGGGGCGCTTCCCGCCGCTTTGGACAACCTCCAGTAGGAGCTCCCCCTTCTCATCCCAGGGGGAAGGATTTCTCAGTTGCAATCTCACGTAGGCCCATAGAAGATGGAGTGTTAGAAGATGGTTGTGTACTCGCATGAGAACGAAAGCCTAGGCTCTTTCAACTTGGGCTTGCACTCTCTGTATAGAGTGCAGTAGTGCAGTTACAGCTAGATTATTTTCACTGAAGAGAATGTAACTTCAGCTGGAACAGTGTACATCAAGTTTTCTAGCTAAAATTTAATAAATGGAATTCTTTAGGAATACAGAGGTGCTGATCTTTCACTGTGGCGTGTAATTTTATCTGAATGTTTTACCTCCTCAACTGTAGCCCATGATATTAGAAGGAAACTGGGTTTAGCATGACCATGCTTTATTATGTTGATTACTTTATCCATTTGCATTGTCTACAGGTCTGTCTTACTTTGCAACCAGTCAGTGTGAAAAAAACAGGTTACTTAGTCCTGTAGATCCTTGAAGTGAATAACAACTTAGCTCAGCACATTTCTTTTTGTGAATGTAGTGGTTCATCCTGCCAAATCATGTCTGACTTCTTCTGATTTGCTTCAGAAATATGTCAGTATCAAAAACCTGAGTGCAACATGTTCAGAATTTTGCTGTCAAACCTGGTGGTTCGATATCTACTGTTAACAATACAGGAAGCATATTTGGGCTGATATTCTTTTTTCCTATGATCGTTAAGGTAATCCTACTCCTCACACAGGCCATGAATCCAAAGTAATTAGGTGATGCTTTGATGTAAAGGTTTGTTGCTTTCCTCATGTTTAGTTAGGGCACTGCTGCTGAACTTTTTAACCTTTTGTTTGTTTAAACTCTATTGAAGTTATAAAAGAACAAAAGCTAGTATGTCTTCTCTGACCCTGTGCCCTTGGACAAAATTGAATGAAGAATCCACATTTCTGAAGCATAGTATGAGAATTTTCATTGATTAATTCTGCAGTTTAAGATTGATCCTTTCTGAGGGGAATAAAGGAACTTTATAAAGTTCCTTACCCTTTTTTTTTTTTTTTTGCTTCTTTCCCCCAGCCCGGCATATTTTGTCCTTTTTTCCTGATTTGATTCTTAGGATTAAAAAATTTAGAGAACTGTTAGTTCCATCATCAGAAGGTTAAATAACCTTTTTCTGTAAATTTTCTGAAAAATGGTTACTAAAAGAGTTATGTTTTAGTGTCTACAAGTTAGGTCTATTTGAACGGCCAATAACTGTCATCCATGAATAGGGAATTTTCTTAAATAACTATTTCATAGTGTTGAGGAAGTGATACCTCCTGACCTCTTCCTATTGAAATAGTTAGAATATTTTATTGATACTGAGGTGGTGGGCTCTTCCTCCATTATCTGCATTATTTTATGCTTTCTAGGGAGAATTCTCAAGACTTGATAAGAGTTGTGTAGATATTGAATATTTCAAGATGGAGTGATTATTGTTGTTCCATGAGCTTTATTCTGTAACGTATTGCAGACCTGTCTGTTAAGTAAGATGTCTTTTTTTCTGTTATTGGTTTTGTTTCCCTTAGGTTCAACATGGCTAGTACATTCCAGGAAACACCTACACTTGAAGCTTCTTATTCAAAAAATGTTGATGCTAAGCTGTCCTTTCTACCTGAAAGACTGAGAAAGAAACTGCTTCCTTTTCAGGAGAAAGGCATCATATTTGCACTTCAGAGAAGCGGCAGGTAAAATCCTTATTTTAGCATATGCTAAAAATAGTTATTTTAAGTAAACACAAATTGCTTTTTAGAAAGACTGTGGAATACCAGCAGCTCTTAGGTGAGTTATACCAGAGAAATTTTTCATAAACTACAAGGTAACGTGGCTTAAAATGAGGGGGTTTGGTTTTTTCCCCAGAGGACAAAGACATGTTTAATAACACATTATGCAAAAGAGGATTGTAATATCAAAGATCTCCTCACATAAGAGGAGGTTGATATCAGTAGGACCATCCTTTTTGTCATGTTAATAGAGAATTCTTAAAATATGTTAATTCACATTTGTTTCCTTAGTTCTTAATGGCGTGGTAGAGCTGTTGAGAGAATGACTAACAGATCTTGATGCATCTGTGTGGTATTCTATTTTAAACTTGGTACAATTCTGGCATGTAATCAGGGTGTTCTGGAACTCACTGAACTGCAACAGCAGAGCAGAAGCAGCCTTGCAGAGTTCTCACTTAGCAAGTGCAGCAACTGGTAGAGCAGGCATTCAACAATTAAGTACCTGATAAATCAGAAAAATAGTTTATGCAGCAGAGGCTGGAAATGTTTTGCTGAGTAAGAGCCTGTTACTGCATTACAGGGACAAAGAAGAGGGAAGGGAAATGCTATTTCCACGTTTATAAATTTTAGAAGATTTAGTACAATTCAACCTAAAGCCATGAAGCTACTGTATGTTGTTCTTTTGGAAAGTAATGACAATTTAGAGGTCTGGCACAAATGAAATTATTTTAGCTTAGGTTTTAAAGCAGGACAAAGTTAGTTAGATCATTTCATCATCTTGCTCAGAACAACAGGCTTAGGGTCTAAGGGGATTGCTTGCTAATGTTTGTGATTTTTTTCAGGAGAAAAGAAATGTGCATCTCTTTCTCTAAAGGTGAAAAATTGGAAAGGAAGTGTTTATCGTCAGTTCTTGCAATTATGTGCAACTCTTGATCAATTAAAATTTCCTCTGAAGATTTTCACTTTCTCTTCATTTGGCCAAAAATCTTCAGCATTTATAACATTGCTGTATTCAGGGAATGAAGCAAGCCAGACTACGTAGCAGAGTACAAAGATGAGACCAGCCATTAGCGTGCAAACCTGAGATGTAAAAAGCTTTAACCTGTATTGGCATTAACTTCTCTGTGACCACTGGTCATATTAGGCACTTTTCTGCTGCACAGTGTGACAGTGAGATTAAATGCATACAGCTTTAATGGATCACTAAGACTTTGATAAAATAGACAGCAAAGTCTACATTAGAGTTGAATTTAATAAATCTAAAGGCCTTGGCTACCATATCTCAGTTGATCTGATTCTAATAAGAGGAACTGAGGTTTATATAGTATGCGATTGAGTTGCATTTGTATATACAAATAGTGACATAACAGAAGACATCAAATATGTATAGTTTCTTTAATGTTAATTAGTGTAGGCTAGTGGATGTATTTGAAAGTAGCTTAATCTTTTGCAGCATATTATAAAATATAGAGGATCCTCAGAAAGCAGCTTAACTGTAGGACTAGATAAATTTTAATCAGATATTTCTTTTTTCTTTTTGTTTGAGACATAACAATTGCCTGCAATAAGTATCTAAAAAGGTTTGGAATACCTAGGCTAACGACTCTCTGTCAAGGAGGAAATTGTATTCTTTTCATTAGGGTTATGGGCTTTATGTTGTTTTCTTTTCTTGAAAACCTTCATTAACAAAACTGTTCAGTAATTTGTCTTTTGTGGATTTACAGGCGTGTGAAAGTATTTTCATCATGATTGCAAGAAATCTCATTCCTTGGCGTAGTAAATCCTATATGTTAGCTGGGTAAATTTGAGGAATTATGTGCACACTCTCAGCCAGCCTCTATATAAAGCAGAATTTATTAAGTCAAACTTTCCTGAGGAGTATTTTTTAAATCTGTCCCTTGCTCAGGCAGATCTAATTTTCTTTCTGTCCCAAAACAGAGAACAAGACCCTCTGTAGTTTGTAGCTGAATTTTCTTATTAGTTTGTCAGCCCTTGGCTCACCCAAGTCTTTCCCTTTTGTGTACTCTGTAATGATTTAAGCCTTCTTTCAGTATTCCCAGTGGTATATTTTAGCAGGGTCTGGTACTTTTCCATAAAAGTATCTTTTCTAGTTTTAAAAATATATAAACATAGGACTTGAACTCAGCAGTATGTGCATCTCAGCTCTTCTTTCTTTTCTGCCTCAGGCTATGCACTCCCTTTGCAGTCATCATTTAATCCATGCTTTGCTGTAGTGGCAGGAAGCTGGTGAAGAGAAAGTGCTTTATTGTTGGCTGAAGAGATTCAATTAATATTATCTTAAGTTAGACAAGCACCCAGCATGAAAAGGGACTTGTTATTAGAACAGACTTATTTCCTGCATGGAAGGGGCTAGGAGTAACCTATTAATTTCCTTGTCTTTTCCCTGAGCAAAAAGTACATATGCTGTTGTGATTTGTGCTTTTGATTCATTAGTAAATGAATCAAAGGCTTTTTTAGTAGGTGCTCCAAAGGCATCATCTAGACTAACAGAGACTGCATAATGCTTTTCTAGGAAATAGTAATTCTAGAGCCAACAAGACAGCGTATAGTTCAACATACGGTAAGATACCTTTTAGCTTACAGACATGCCTTAAAGGTAAATAACTGCATGGCTGCTTATTCCCTACTAGAGATTATTCTTCAGAAGTGCACTTGGGAATAGGTACCTAGGGATGGAAAGTGTTTGATCTTTATTTATAACCTCAAATGTTAATGTGCAGAAAAGAAGAGTGCACAGAAATTCTGTGCTTGAAAACTATTTTGTTTTTATGCTTTTCCTTTAGGAAAAGTGTAAGTTACTTTTAAAAACATCATAAATATGTATTTATTTATTTATAAGAGCTTTAAACTGTTTTTTAAATGGAAAGCAACAAACTTGTCCCTTCCAGGAACATAAAGTCTTAGCAATGGGTTTAGGGAATATTTAGGGTTGTTAGGTCAGTTGTGTGTATGCTGTTGGGAGGGGGAGGTGAGCAATTCTCTCTATTGCTCTTTGCATGCTGGTTATTAGTCCCAGTTGGGCAGATGTAGACAAATCCCCACTTCCTAAGAGCACAGGTAACCTAATCGCAAATGAAAGCAAAGATGTCATCTTGCTTTTAGGGTTGAGTTGTTCTGAGCAACAGAGTTTAGTTTTCAGGCCTATGTTATTCTTCCATGTAATAATCTATGAAGTATGCAGGAGGAGGCTGACTTGAGAATGAAGGCCTAAACAGTACTGAGAAGTCACCAGCCAATGGTCAGGTGCTAGTTAAGAGAAGGCAGTGGTGTCAAAGCACAGTACCCTGGAAAAAGTGGTAGAAGTTTGGGAAAAATATCCAAGATGCAGACCTGTACTGTTCAACATTTTTGTTGGCAACATGGACAGTGGGGTTGAGTGCACCCTCAGCAAGTTTGCTGATGATACCACACTGTTTGGCAATGGAGACAGGCTGAAGAGGAGGGATGCCATCCAAAGGGACCTGGACAGGCTGGAGAGGTGGGCCCCAGCCAACCCCATGCAGGTCAACAAG